CAAACAAAAGAAGTGGTAGATAGCAAGCATGGACCACCATTCCTGGCTTTTGTTGTCTCATTTTAAAATCCTTAATTATGCTGGGCGTGGTGGCGCATGCCTTTAATCCCAGCACTCAGGAGGCAGAAGCAGGTAGATCACTGTGAGTTCAAGGCCAGCCTGGGCTAGAGGGAGACCCTGTCTCAAAAAGACCAAAAAAAAAAAATTCTTTAATATGGTACTGCCTCGATGGCTCAATGGTTAAGAGTAAATGTTCTTACAAACAACCCGAGTTTGGTTCCCAGCACCCACATCATGTGGCTCACAACCACTCTAGCTCCAGGGGATCCAAATGCCTTTGGCTTCCTTGGGCACCTACACTCACATACACAAAACACACATACACACATAATTAGAAGTAATAAAAATAAATCTTTAAATAAAATCCTTAATTATATCTATAAGACCCTCTTTCCAAACAAGCTAGCATTCACAGGCACTAGGGATTAGGATGTGGACATATCTAGTCAGACACTATCAGTTGAACTACTGAGTGAAGCTTGCCAGGAAGCCAAGGCTGTTAGCCTTGGAAAGTTCATCAAATGCTTCTTGATTTAAAGGCAGGCAGCCTTCCACAGGTTTCCTTCCTGTAGTTTGATAAGTGTACCTCTTTGCAGAATGGATCCACACTCTCATGTTGCCAACTCAGAGGTGGTTTGGTTTTCTAGACTGTCAATAATTATAATAAAACTCTCTGATTTTGAGCCCATATGACATAAGCATAGTTGAGCATGAAAGGAAATAAACAATAAATGTGTCTGTGAGCCAGATGGCACGTCTGTAATTCCAGCACTTGGGAAGTGGAGGCAGGAAGATCAAGAGTTCAAGGCTAGCCGTAGCTATATAGCAAGTTCAAGGCCAGCCTGGGTCACATGAGACCCTGTCTCAAAAATCCATATAAGGGGCTTGAGAGATGGCTCAGTGGTTAAGAGCACTGGCTGCTCTTGCAGAGAAACCAGGTTCAATTCCCAGCTCCCACATGGCGGCTAACCACCATCCATAATTCCAGTTCCAGAGGATCTGACACTCTCTTATGACCTTGCCAGGCACTGCAAAACATAGTGCACTTACATTCAAGCAGAAAATATACTCATACACATAAAATAAAAAATAATAAGTAAAAAAAATTTAAAAATCCAGCCAGGGGCTGGAGAGATGGCCCAGTGGTTAAGAGCACTGACTGCTCTTACAGAGGACCCAGATTTGATTCCCAGCACCCACATGGCGGCTATGAACTGTTCTTAACTCCAGTTCCAGGGAAATCCGAAGCCCTCTTCTGACCTCCACAGCATTGCACAAAAGAGCACTGACTGCTCTTACAGAGGACCCAGATTTGATTCCCAGCACCCACATGGCGGCTATGAACTCTTCTTAACTCCAGTTCCAGGGAAATCTGAAGCCCTCTTCTGACCTCCGCAGCATTGCACAACACTGGTGCACTCACATACATGCAGTCAATACACTCATACACATAAAATAAAAATAATAAATACTTTTTTTAAAATCCAGCCAGCATGGTGGCACATGCCTTTTAATCCCAGCACTCGGGAGGCAGAGGCAGGCAAATCTCTGTGAGTTCGAGTCCAGCCTGGTCTACATAGTGAGTTCCAGGACAGATGGGGCTACAGGGAGATCCTGTCTCAAAAAGACCAAAAAATTTTTCTTTTTAAATCCAAATAAATAAATAGTGTCTGGATACCCACTTATACCTTGGAGTTTCAAGAGTATGTATGTAGATTTGTACAAACTCACCATCTACCATCTATCTTAGTTTCTTTTTAAAAATACATTTAAATTTTTTTTTATTTATGTGTATCTGTGTGAATGTATGCCATGTGTGCAGATGCCCTTGGAGGCCAGAAGTCCTGGAGCTAGAGTTACAGGCAGTTGTGAGCCACCCATTGTGGGTGCTGGGAACTGAACTCAGGTCCTCTGGAAGAACAGACAGTGCTTTTAACTGCTGAGCCATCTTTCCAGCCCTTCATTTCTTTTCCATCACTGTGATAAAATATCCTGACCAAAACAACTAGGGGAAAGGGTTTATCCCGACTCAACAGTTCAAAATACAGCCCATTGTGCTGGGGAAGCCGCAGCAGCGGAAGCTTGAAGCAACTTGTCACATCTCATCCACAGTCAAGAGATAAAGTAGTGAATTCTTGGGGCTGCTCAGCTCCCTATCTTCATTTATACAGTCCAGGATCCCAGTCAGGGAACGGCACCATGCACAGTGGACAGGTCTTCCCACCTCCATTAATTTGATCAAGATAATCAAATCAGACACAGGCATGCCCAGAGATCCATCTTTCAGGTGATTCTAGAGCCTGTGAAGTTGACAATTAACAAAATTAACAATAACCCATCACCCAACCAGGCTACTGACTTTACCAATAAGAACCACAACTAATGAAGCAAATTATTTTTTCCTCTACACATAGAAACTTGGCCTGTGTTCCTTGGACAGGTTTTATCATCACATGCTCCTGGAGTCACAATGTCATACTATGGAGAGGAGGCAAAGCGGGGCAGTGGAAAGTGGGAGTGGGAAGGAATGTAACTGCAGTTCTCCTATCCACCCATAGGAAACTGGCTTGGCTGTATCACAGACACTCATTTTCCTTTCTGCCACTTGGGATTTCTGCAGTCCTTGGATGAGAACTGAATGTGGGGTCAGTGAAGTCAAAGGCACTTTGAGGACTCAGCCCCCAGACAACTGAATCTCTGCACACACAGTCCCTGCTTTTGATGTTTTGATGGTTATCCTACCAGTAAGGTTCTCTCTTTCTCCCCCCCCCCTCTCTTTCCTCGTGCACCTCAGGCTAGCCTTGAAGTTCCTACGTGGTAACCAATAAAGACCTTGAACCCCAGATTCTCTTGTGTAGATGTCACAGGTATGTACCAACATATATGGTTTATGTGGTACTGGGCATAGAACCCAGGGCTTCATACATACTAAGCAAACACTTTATCAGCTGAACTGCAGTCCCAGCCCCTGGTCAGGGTTCTTAAGACCAGTAAAGAGCTTCTTCACTATATTAGACCTTACCAGTAAGTGATACATAGTCAGGAGATTATATAACAACTTCTATTTGCAGACCTATTCACAGTTTTCAAAGTATTTTACATAGATTATTTTAGCACTATGGCTACTGCTGTGCAAATCTGGCTGTCTGGAGGAGATTTCATGACAGGACATTAAGTTAGTGTGTGGATGGTACCTCATCCCTCACAGTAAAGACAGAAGGTGTTTGTTTGTTTGCTTTGGTTTTTACATACCTATCTAGCATTATCAAAGCTACTCAAAATTATATACATATAATTTTGGTTTTCGGTGTAGGAGATCAAACCCAGGGCCGCATGCATGCTAAGCATGTTGCACTAATTAGTTTCATCCTCAGCCCCCAATTATATTTTTACCACTAATACAAATAAATGTATCTACTTATATAGCAAGATTTTAATATATTTTATAAATCATATACGGAAATGAGCAATTTA